AAAATGCAATGCATTATGGGATATAATTTAAATTTTGCACTACTGTGATTTTACTGAGCATAAATGCAATGCATTATGGGATATAATTCAAATTTTGCACTACTGTGATTTTACTGAGCATAAATGCAATGCATTATGGGATATAATTTAAATTTTGCACTACTTCGATTTTACTGAGCATAAATGCAATGCATTATGGGATATGAATTCAAATTTTGCACTACTGAGCATAATAATAAGTTATTTTTGGAAATGTTTTCACAAAATTAGGATTTGTGTCAATAAATAATATATGACTCTGAGCTAAATTTTGGGATCAGAAAAAATCTCACTATAAAAACCATTCGGTGATCCAAAATCTTTTTGCATTTGGCTTTTACAATCACTGTACTTCCTTCGTGCATACTTTGTGGTATTCTTGTAATGACGCCATATTGTCAGTGTAACATCCAGAATGTAGGATTGTGAGAGTCATGTCAATTTCAGGGATTTTATTTCATTGTGTGTATGTGATTCTCGCACGTTTTTTTTCTCCTAGGCAGTAATGTTCAGAAATCAGACACAATAACATCTGTATTTTTAATGTCATAAATACAGACCTTTTCTAAGTGAAGCAATGCTTCTGTATCTTCTGATGGTTGGTGTAGTTTAGGAATGACGTCCATTACATCGGATACATCTAATTCAATACAGATATCCTATAAAACAAATCATATCAATACAAACTGTTTTAGATAAAATACTTTAAATAATTTAATAAAATAATGAAAATTTGTCTGGTGTACTACGATACAAGAGTTTCAGAGACTTTCTTGAATTTTGTCTTTACAAATGCCATAGAATTCTGAAATTTGAAAAAAATCACAGTTGGGAAACGGTTTACAGTATTTTCTGAAGTCAAAGATGAACACAAGTCAAAACCCTGTTCATATGAAAGTCACATTTCCTGATTTCTTTGGTTTTTATACTTATTTTGTTTATAAAATGTGCTTTTAATTTTACCAAATTACAAATTATGGAACTATACTGAGATCACTATATCGCCATATCAATGTATGAGTCAGTGAATTAGTACAACTAGAAAATCCCAGGAAATCTTTGTGTGTCAGTGGAGTATTATATCATTATGAGGACAAACTGAAATTAATATCAGCTGCGAATTCATACCTTTAAATGTTGCCTACATTTACTGAGTGGCATTTGATCATCTTAGAAGACACACTTATGAGGACAAACTGAAATTAATATCAGCTGCGAATTCATACCTTTAAATGTTGCCTACATTTACTGAGTGGCATTTGATCATCTTAGAAGACACACTTATGAGGACAAACTGAAGTTAATATCAGCTGTGAATTCATACCTTTAAATGTTGCCTACATTCACTGAGTGGCATTTGATCATCTTAGAAGACACACTTATAAGGACAAACTGAAGTTAATATCAGCTGTGAATTCATACCTTTAAATGTTGCCTACATTTACTGAGTGGCATTTGATCATCTTAGAAGACACACTTATAAGGACAAACTGAAGTTAATATCAGCTGTGAATTCATACCTTTAAATGTTGCCTACATTTACTGAGTGGCATTTGATCATCTTAGAAGACACACTTATGAGGACAAACTGAAGTTAATATCAGCTGTAAATTCATACCGTTAAATGTTGCCTACATTTACTGAGTGGCATTTGATCATCTTAGAAGACACACTTATAGGACAAACTGAAGTTAATATCAGCTGTAAATTCATACCTTTAAATGTTGCCTACATTTACTGAGTGGCATTTGATCATCTTAGAAGACACACTTATAAGGACAAATTGAAGTTAATATCAGCTGTGAATTCATACCTTTAAATGTTGCCTACATTTACTGAGTGGCATTTGCTTGATGTCTTTAACACGAGTGCTGTGACTGCGAACTTTACCGTTCTCTTCCAAGCTGTTGATATACAATGAAACATGATATCATTAAAATGTGACACTATATCTGTGCTTTGATACTATAATTCAATACATTTCACCATATAAGTGGTATACGTGCTTATATAAATGACTGATGTGTGTCTATTGTAAATGTTAAATTATATTTCAATCGAGTACCATATTTGCTCTACTAGAAGCACATCTGCAATAAAAGTGCATATAAACCAAAAATTACATGTGGTATATATGGAATAATTAAAGTATGATTTATTTTTACCATGGAAACACACCTGTAACATACCTCAGCATATGAGCTTCTAATAGAGCAAGTACGAAATACAAACAAGTCATTTTAGTGTTTTAGTGACTGTCAAAATTAGTGCCAAGTAATTATTTACACTCATGTGACAGACATTTGAGTCAGTTTATTTGTGCGATTCCTTCCTTTATTCTGCCCAGGACATTCATAATGCAATTATAGAACAAAATGACGATCAGCCATCTTGAATCAGATTCTGAAACAGCTG